CAGACAGACAGACAGACAGACAGACAGACAGACAGACAGACAGACAGACAGACAGACAGACAGACAGACAGACAGACAGACAGACAGACAGACAGACAGACAGACAGACAGACAGACAGACAGACAGACAGACAGACAGACAGACAGACAGAAAAGAAAGAAAAGGTAAAAATGTAAAGTCGGGAGATGTGAACCAGCGTCATTGCACACCAGTACGGACAGCTGTGTCGCCGTCCGCACGTAACTCTGTAGCTACAGCGACGTTCCTCCATTTACCCCAAAGTGTCAACTCTGGTACCCATTTCCTAAAGGCTGGGTGAACCCCGGGAACCGCCCGGTTTCGAACACTGACCGTTCCTGCAACGAGTCGCAGCTGGATTTTAAAGCGAGCTCCTGTTGACTGCGCTAACGCGGCTCCCAGAGAGAGAGAGAGAGAGAGAGAGAGAGAGAGAGAGAGAGAGAGAGAGAGAGAGAACGAAAGAGAAAGAGTGAGAGAGTGAGAGAAGTCTGAGTGTGTTTTAAAGCTGTGAAAATTGTACGATCGAAAAAAACCATGGCGTTCAGATTTAAAAAAAAAAAAGTAAAATGCAAACTGCCGAATGAAGCTCTCTTCTCGAGCTAACCCCTTAAACTCCCTTGCGAATGGTCTTCAAAGAAGCCATTTTTTGAAAGATCCAATGTTGCTCTGCCTGAGAACAGAGCGCGATATTTTGTGTTAAAATAATGGTAATAAATAGCGATATTTACACGGAAATGCTATCAAAAGATCCCATTGTTGCTTTACTATTTCCTTTTCTCATTAAGCCTCGCTGGTCAGTGAGACTAGATAGTTTACTTTTGTCCTGTCTCTATTTATCATCTTCTCATTATTCATCCCTGAACAAACCCACACATTGAACTGGTCTCTACGTCCAGGCGCTCCAGCTACCCTCGTGTTCTGCAGGTTGTACAAAGGTTCTCCAATATTTATACATGCTAAGGTAAATAGTCAATCCATATAATGAGTGTGCATTTCCGCGCCAATTTTTAGGCTACAAATATTGTCAATGGCGTACTGTTTGAGTGTGAAACTTATATATGTATGTGAGCGGTCACTTATTTAAATCATTTATTATTACTAGTCTTCACTATTATATTGACAGATATGTTCAAAATAAAAACATTGTGTTACAAGCACGAAGCATTGGACGACCATGACTCTTTCACAGACATCATAAAAAACAAAAATAGATGAATTTTTCAGAGCAGATGTGTAATGAGCATGTTGTAATGAAAGTAAAAGTTTCTTTACCGGACAGAGATGCATTGAACATGTTGTGAGTGAAAGTAAAGGTTTCTTTACCGGACAGAGAGGCACTGAACATGTTGTGAGTAAAAGTAAAGGTTTCTTTACACGACAGAGATGATTGAGCATGCTGTGAGTAAAAGTAAAAGTTTCTTACACAACAGAGATGCACTGAGCATGTTGTAAGTAAAAGTAAAGGTTTCTTTACCCGACAGAGATGCATTGAACATGTTGTGAGTAAAAGTGAAGGTTTCTTTACCCGACAGAGATTAATTGAGCATGTTGTGAGTAAAAGAAAAGGTATTTTTACACGACAGAGGTGTATTCAGCATGTTGTGAGTGAAAGTAAAGCTTTCTTTACACACCAGAGATGCACTAAGCATGTTGAGAGTAAAAGTAAAGGTTTCTTTACACACCAGAGATGCACTAAGCATGTTGAGAATAAAAGTAAAGGTGTCTTTACACGACAGAGGTGTATTCAGCATGTTGTGAGTAAAGGTGAAGGTTTTTTTTTTTTTCACACCAGAGATGCACTGAGCATGTTGAGAGTAAAAGTAAAGGTTTCTTTACACGACAGAGGTGTATTCAGCATGTTGTGAGTAAAGGTGAAGTTTTTTTTTACACGCCAAATCCCGTTAAACATATGAGACTACACTCGATGAGTGATGTCGTTATCACGCCGGCCGCCTTCACTTTCCATGACTATACGTGGTTCCCATTGTAGGCTAAGTCGACCGGGCAGCCATGGTCTTGTTTAAAGAAACAAATCCGGCTGCACGCGAGTTTGAATCCACGATCTTTACATCTGCCAGCTATCGTCTAGCTTTACACCACTGTGGCTCCCTGTGCATGTTGTTCTAGTCCTTAACTATCACAGCCTAATCAGCTCTGGGTGCATGACGTGGCCAACATCAGGATGATCGCCTTTACTTCCCAGGACATTGCTGAGTACGCGTTTTAGAAACATTGGCATCGTGCTAACTGACACATGTCATTGACGTTCTTGTCGCTACAGATCTCGGTCTTTGGAATTTTGGATCAAGTTCCATTGAAGACAGTCATATCTGGCATGTTCCTCGACCACCTAGGATTACATCTCTGATCCTGTCTGTGCTCTTTCTTCCAGTGATGTTTTAAGTTGACATGATTTTCTCCTATTCCTGTTTTTCTGATTGTAAGATTTACAATGCATGGTGCACTATATGGTTTTGGTTCTCGTTATTTAACTGATACAGGGAAATCTTCTAGGAAGTAAACTTGGCCAGTTTGAAATTGGCGACATTATCTATCAGAGTCGACTTCTCTAAACGTGCCTAGTCACTCTCCTTCTGATAATTAGGGTGATGCTGGTGTCTTGTGAAACTAACATGGAGACAGACTGGCTGGTTCCACATCACCTGTTTTTTAAATCATTCATGGCAAGCTAGATATTGTAAGGGTCCTACAGGATCAAGTGAACAGTGCGAGATCATCACAGTCTCGACAGAAAGATACTGCGAGGAGAAACCAGGGTATCTGGCTGTTGCTCAAAACTCAAGGCAAATGCGATAAGGATATAGAGACTGTTAGTGGTGCCGTCGGACTTGGAAATCTGTGCTTGCTGCTGAAGTTGAGGACGGAGAGCTTATGGGAATGTCCCAAGAGTGTGATGTCGATTCTTAATTCAATGGTAAACTTACAGTAAAAAGCAGAGGCTAAGATTCTCTGCTTACTCTATCAATGCTTGTCAGAGGTATTCTTGTAGTCAGTTAGGGTCGGTCACAGTGAAAACATGACTGGACATTGCTCCGTTCTTGGGCTGGTTGAGGAAATCGATGAAGATGTCGATAAACGCGAGGAATCTACCACACATCTCTCCACGCTGTCTTTTGTCGGAGAGCTTAAGTGCATCAATTAATCAAGTAGCTACGTTAGAGGGTTTGAGTGGCCAATTAATCAATGAACAGTGCCTGCGCGAGCTGTACCACTGACAGGGTCAGCCAAACAGACCGATTCTTGGTGTAGCACAAACCAGCCATGCACACAACGCGTAGACCCTTACTTGCCAGATGACAAATGAAATGAGTAAACTACAATAAAATCTAAAACTAAAAGCACTACATCAAAATATGTGTTTTAAAGGGATCTAAAATACAAAAAAAGAAATATATTAAAAAAAAAAAAAATGTGGGGAGTAAAGGGTTTGCGGCGTAGAGTCACTGGCCAAATAGTCAAGTCCTTTGCCTTACGCTCTGAATGTCATGTGTGCGTTTCATGGCAGCATCGTTTGGTTGAAGAGTTCTCTGGGGTGAGTCGCCGAGGTACGCAGTTCGTGCTTTGTGCGATGCTCTCGGCAGGGGGCTAGCCGTTCTGTGGTGGGAGACCAGGGCAAGTAGGATGAAACATAGTACAGTCAAGTCGATCCTCGGACCTTCACCCTTTAACCTTTACTTGTCTAAATACCGCAGGGCAAAAATAATTGTTGTCTTAGGCGTTTAACCACAAGATAACTGCTCATGTACTTGTGATGTTTTAGTGTAGTTTTTTCTGTCGTCTTGTTTGTTTAAATACCGATTTCGGAAATCCCGGAGTTCCTGGGTAAATCCAATATTTTAGGAGTCTTATTGGTTGGGTTAGGCTTAGGGTTAGACAAAGGGTTATTGTTAGGGTTAGAGTTAGGATAGTGGTTATAAAGAGGGTTATAGTTAGGGTTAGAGGTAGAGTTCGTGTTAGGGAATATGGATGTGGTTAGAGTTAGGGGTTGGGGATGGGGTTAGAGGTAGGGTTAGAGTTGGGGTTATGCTAGGGTTAGAGTTAGGGTTACAGTTAGAGTTAGGGTTAGGGGTAAGCCTTAGTCGGTGTCTCTGAGGCTGTCGGCGCTGACAAAGATCCTAACCCTAACCTCAACTGGTAACACCCCTTGATTATTGGACTTGCCATGGAGCTCAGTGATTTCCTTTGTATGGGATAAATGAAAAAAAATGTACCATTATTTCTAGCCACTCTTATTAGCATCGTGGTTATTTGACCGCTTTCACCACAGGTTATATTGTTTACCTCAACTCCCCATGGAAACAATTAGAAGAGATACCTTGGAGTGTCTGCTCAGAACTGGGCACTTGTGGGAATGCTCAATGTGCAGTGTCGTCAGTTGTAATTACATAACCCATCCTGTTTTACCTGTACCCACCAGGTGTATCAGTGACGTCAGTTGTAATTACATAACCCATCCTGTTTTACCTGTACCCACCAGGTGTGTCAGTGACGTCAGTTGTAATTACATAACCTATCCTGTTTCACCTGTACCCTCCAGGTGTGTCAGTGACGTCAGTTGTAATTACATAACCCATCCTGTTTTACCTGTACCCTCCAGGTGTATCAGTGGCGGTCAGTTGTAATTACATAACCCATCCTGTTTTACCTGTACCCACCAGGTGTGTCAGTGACGTCAGTTGTAATTACATAACCTATCCTGTTTCACCTGTACCCTCCAGGTGTGTCAGTGACGTCAGTTGTAATTACATAACCCATCCTGTTTTACCTGTACCCTCCAGGTGTATCAGTGGCGGTCAGTTGTAATTACATAACCCATCCTGTTTTACCTGTACCCTCCAGGTGTGTCAGTGACGTCAGTTGTAATTACATAACTTACCATGTTTTACCTGTACCCTCCAGGTGTGTCAGTGGCGGTGAGTTGTAATTACATAACCTATCATGTTTTACCTGTACCCTCCAGGTGTGTCAGTGGCGGTCAGTTGCTTCACTTTGGTGGCCATATCCCTGGAGCGCTACTTCGCCATCTGTCACCCACTCAAGTCCAGGAGCTGGCAGACTCTGTCTCACTCCTACAAAGCCATCGCTGTCTGCTGGGCGGCCGCCTTCCTTCTCATGGTTCCCTCGGCTGTCTATCATGACCTTGTTGAAGTGAGTAATGTTCTTTATATTATTGCTATGTTCAACTTTAAATTCCTTTTTAACCTTATACTTAATATTTAACAATTGAAACTATTTACAACTTTAAGAAAGAGACAGTGTTTTTCGGAGAAAACATTGTGACGAGAAAACATTAAAACATCGCGATGACTGGATAGATCATCGGTAGAAGGAGCAGAGGCAGACCAAAAGAGACGACGCTAGACGATATGAAACGATCGAAGGCAGGAGTTTCATCATGAGGATTGAGTCAGGATGCCAGAGGCCAAGATCTATGGAGAGATACGAACGCCTACGCCACATGGAAGGCCGAGTGATAATGATGATGATTTGCAACTAAACCTGGAGGCTATTGTGCCGGCGATGTTCTCATGTGTTCGCATCGGTAAAATCTATTTTGTTTCAAACTAGGGCATTCCCATTTCAGCTGTACTGATCCTTCATGTCAAGTGTTTGCTGGCTTATGATTCGTGGTGTTTTGTTGACTGATAAAGACTGCGGTCGAAACGCTCTGTTGCATTTTTATGCGACTTTTCCTACACGACAGTTGAACTTATTAGACATAACAGGAGAGTTGGAAACTAGTCACTCAGGCACAATGAGGCCCCACCCCCTTTTCTGAGGGAGTGGTGTAAACGTAAGTGGTCTGTTTGACTCTCTTAACCATGTATACAAGCTATGTTTCTAAGTATTTGTTAATATCTTTCTTATTATTTTATATTAGCTGTACCCAGCAATGCGTTGCTGTGGCTTATTCTGTCGAAAGGGAAAAAAAAGAAAATAGAACGTGTACGTGTCTAATATGGTTAATGACACACTCAATGTCTGAGCAGATAATAAAGATTGTTTGGTTTGCTGACTCTAGAACACGCAACATACAAGTATGTCTTTATTTTAGTTAAAATATGGTTATTTGTTTATCACAAGCTAAACTGTTTTTTTTTTTTTTTTCACAACTGGAAAAAAATTGAGAATAGCCGAGGAAGCGATATTAAAATATAAATAATGAAAAAATGAGAACTTTGAAATCATGTTTCAAGCTCTCTGAGTTAACAGTGTCTGTCAACACCCAACCCCCCCCCCCCCCCACGCCCCCACCACTTCCTAATCCACCGAATACTCTTCTCTCCATCTCCAAATGATTTAAAATTTATCACCTGATGACTTCTTTTTTTTTTTTTTTTTATTTCCCCTGGCATCTACGTCCACCCAGACTAAAATGGATAGCATGTTTTGTAATGAGAAATAAATGTTGCCAGTGTAATATTTACCACATAATTTATTATACAGCTTGATGCAGACTGTTAAGGTCAACAGGCAAAGCTTACCTACAACCTACACCGGAAACGTGAAAACGAAACAAAAACCGATGTGATTGTCGCTAGAGATATATGGTTCGTGCTTTATGCGACACTTTTATATAAAAACACGGGTGCATTCAAAAGCAGCATGGATCAACATTTGAAAGGAATCGGCGAAAAACTTTCAGAGATTAGCGATGATTAACAGAGGAACATATACATTTTTATTTATATAGATAATATATTATATTTGGACGTTCCGTAAATTAATATTATTGTATTACTCATGTGAACAAGTCAAAAGCTCGTGAAAAGATGTAAATGAGCTGACTTGACCTCCTCCCTCTCGTAGCACACCTCCCCCCCCCCCCCCCAATGATTTCTTTGTGTAGGCTGTCCTGATTCAAGGTTTGTTGTGTTTTTGCCTGTTGTTTGATTTCTAGATGATTTCCGAAGGAGAACATGACAAGCTTTGGTATATGGCAATGGCGAACAACTGAAAGAAAAATTATCTTGCTAAACCAAGACAGTCAACAATGCCTAGGGTTGGTTCTTCAAGGTCTTGTAAAAGATGCCTAACTAACTTGTTTTACATAAATATATATATATATAATATATTTTATATACATATTACGTTGGTTTCGTTTTAAAAGAAATTTCTGTCTCTTGTCTTGGACAGATACGGCCGCACATCAACGCGTGCGTAGAGATCTGGCCCTCGACCAACAGTCTGAAGGTCTTCACAGTGACTCTGAACCTTGTGCTGCTCGTGTTGCCGTGCATCCTCATGAGCTGGGCCTACGGCTGTGTCTGCTACACCTTGTGGGTCGGCATCCAAATGGAGAAGCAGTCAGAAAAGGGTGAGTTTTTCTTTGGTGCTGAAGGGTGCAGACAATCGTATGCGTCTTTGTGCTGTTTTTCTTGTTTGTCTTGTTCTTCTTATTTGTCTTGTTCTTCTAGTTTGTCATGTTCTTCTTGTTCTTGTTGGTATTCTTCTCATTCCTCCCTGGTCTTGTTCTGTCTTCAGAGCCATATTTTAAAAAACATCTTTCCCGTGTGGTTTCTGGATCCCCATTGTGGGGGAAAACAAGAATAGACCCACTGCCTACCCAAAAGCATGTCGTAAAAGTCGAGCACTTATGGGTTACTACCTGAGTGTCATAATGTTGATCTGCTGTTCAAACCACAAACTTCTAGGCCAAGAGAAACACCCGTGCAAGCCTAACTTCACGGGTCGCTGATTGAATTACATCAGACAGTGAAGTGCATACTAGAGACAACATTTTTGGTGTAGATAATCTGTTTCAAGCGAACGAAGGTAGAAGAAGAAGAAAGTAGATGTCTGCGAGTCTGGGATTTAAATGTAGGTTTGTGAAAAATGGTTCAGAGACCATCAGTATGTGCCGTACCGAGAAGCCTAGATATGGTGGTTCGCCTCTTGGAATGATCGCTGAGGTTTCGGATCATGTCAATGTTTGTCTCGAAGATTGTAGATATCTTTCAATGCTCAACTGTGTGTTAGCGTGCGTGTATTGACGTATGTAAGTGTTAGTATGTAGATATGTGTGTACTAATGTGTGAATATGTGTGTGCAATATGTGAATGCCGTGTGTGCATACGTGTAGATATATGGACGCCGATATGTGTACCTCTGTGTTGTGTGTGCGCTATTTTTTGTATGTGCTTTGTGCCAACGTTGGGGTGTGTCTGCCAATATGTTAATGTGGTGTGTGCTTACGCGTGCATGTGTGTGCCAATATGCTGATGTGCGTGCTAATGTATGTGACAAGGTTTAGATGTGAAAGCAAATCTGCTGGTGTGTGCATCAGTGTGCAGATTCGTGTTTAATACTCTGTGTGTATGCGTGTATGTGCATTGTGTAGATGAGTTTCCGCAAATACGTTTATGTATATAGTTCACTGTGCAAGGAGCTGTTGTTTACAATAAGAAAAGAGAAAATCATAGAACAGTCTGAAAAGAGAGTACCGCGAGTATATAGAGATGTACGAGGAAGTCAAGGCGGCCAGCCTGATGTTCAACATATCACTCATTGCTTGCGAATTTGTCTAAAACTGCGTGCTTCTACAAACCTATGCCCGATAAAAGCAATTTTAGCGTTGAGAGAAATCGTTTCTTATTCACGTTAATCAACTGAAAACTCCAACAAAAAAATGATGGTTGTTCGTTCATTGTTGACTCTTATTCCAGAACTTGAGTTTTGCGTGCACATTTGTTGCACAGATCTCAATTGTTTCTATGCAGACTGTTGGTTCTTTGCTTTTCCGGCATACTTAACGACTACTTTTCAGAAAGGCAGTGGGTTTATTATTTTGTCCTCACCACTTCAGGTCTGCGAAACCAACACACTGGAAAGTTGGGGAAATGAAAGATAAGACTCAATCAGCTTCCTCACAGAAAAGCTCTTGGTCGTTGCAGTTAATCTGCTTTGAACACAGAAGACTTCTAGCCTTGTGTAGAAGGAATTCATGACTGAAGATTCAGAACTGTGCGCATCTGGACAAGCATCACTGACATGTGTTACAGACATGACCTCTACATGCAGCTGCAGACACGTCTCAAGTTTGCCCAGTTGGCATTCCAATGGAAACCTGGCTATATGGAAAGATGGAAGACATGCGTCGCAACACAGGATATTTAAAGACATAGAGCCTTCTCATCTGAAAACCACTGGCACTGAGAGAGAGCACAAAGAAACAGCAACAAAACAAAAACAAAAAACGAAAAATAAGATATAGCTGAGATGCAATTCCCTAAATATGGTCCTAATAATGAACATAATTCCAAAATTGAGCTTGTACGAATACGTTTCTGAGTGCGTACTCTAAGAGGTAATACTATTGGTCAAGTCATTTTTTGGTGATTTCTCATTGCAGAAACACAGAACAAGCTGACAACAGCCGAGTACGACGCCCAAAACGGTGTTTCTCTCTGTCTCAAGAAGAAAGTAATCCTGACTAGGGGCAATTACGACGACGCTGACTTTCCGACCGTCAGTTCTGTGAGTAGTCAGACCACAAGCGGCTCCACCAAGTTCACAAACGCCGTCACCAGGCCAGTCCGGAGGATGGACGCCCATAGAGCCATGCGACAGTCCAACACCGAACGATCCAGGGCAGCCAAAAAGCGAGTCATCAAAATGCTCTTCATGATCGTACTGGAATTTTTTATTTTCTGGTCACCGACCTTCGTCCTTGACACCTGGATGGCCTTCCATTTCCCTAGCGCTAGAAGACACGTGACACCGGTGACCAAATCACTCATCCACCTTCTATCATACATCAGCACCTGCTGCAACCCTATCACTTATTGTTTCATGAACAAAAACTTCCGCCAGAGCTTTCTCCTGGCATTCAAGTGTAAGAAGACCCGCTATGTGTACGCGAATAAGACTCAGATGTCCTTTACTTCAGGCAACACTATGTCCACAAGAGCCCCGGCCAATCCTTCAACGGCCACCAGCTACGACAAGATCGTGGACTCT